GGATACATTCTTTGTTGATGTCCAAACTCAAACAGATGACTCTTTAGAATGCACGTTGAGAACAGAAATATTTCTTCTTATCGAAATAATTAAAACCATACAAGCCAGTATGGAAGAGCTTAATTTAAAACTGCTCGACGCAAAGTCTTTAATGGAAAACTATTTCGCATGAAAAAAATTTTATTTCAAAATTGTTAAAGTTAAGCTCACATATAAAATTGGAAACAAATGTAAAATCCTACTTTTATAAGTGTCGAATAATGTTTAGGATAAAAAATTTAAATATAAAAATAAACGCAGAAACGCATAAAACTTGGGCAATTGAAAACAAGAAAATTGTTAAAACTATTTTATAAACAATTTGTTTTATTTTATTCACAAAATATATATATTCCAGGTAATGTAAGTAAAACAAAACTATAATCGAAAAAAGCCTAGGGCATCAGTGCTGACAAGATACATGGAAAACTAAGGGGTAATTCGTTTGTTTACACTTTTTGACATTATAGTACCTTAAAAGAGAGCCGCACTGAATTGTCAATCCCACCATCATGAATCACACCTTGTTTAATACACCTTGGTTTTACCCAAGGCATATTCAACAAGGTAGAAGTGACAATTCAGTTGAGCTCTCTCATACCTGACTGTAATGTCAAAAAATGTAAACAAAGAAATTAACCCTTGGTTATGCATTTACCATATTTGATAAAACTCAACATCTTTGAAATGAAAGTTTTTGTAAATATAAAAATATTTAAAATCTCATTAGAATCAGCTTCATTTTTAACCGACTTCCAAAAAAGGAGGAGGTTATCAGTTCGTCGGAATATTTTTATTTTATTTTTATTTTATTTTTTATTTTATGTATGTTACCGCATAACTTTGGACCATGTCAACCGATTTCGATAATCCTTTTTGCATCGGAAAGGTAGTGTCTCAGAAGTGGTCCCATACTAATCTGGTTAAGATCCGATCAGCGGATCATGAGATATATATATATATTTTTTTTATATGAGAGTTGAAGTCGGTTTTTTTTGCTAAAAATTACTTGTATTTATTGAATTTTCGACTTAATGTAAATATGGGAATGCATACATACACAAAATTACACACTAAATCAAACACACTCATTTATAAAACCGTTTTACAATTTTCTTGCTTTTACTATCCTAATGTTTTTGAGCATTTATTTTTTTATTGCAATACTTAATTCTAAAGTATATTAGTCATTAAAAAAGTTTGATTCTTCTAAATTTACATCAGAACTTAACTTCAATAATTTAGCTATTAAATTTTTGCTATTCGAAATTTCCTTTCCATTAAATTTATTAAAAATTACTTTCAGTTTCTTTATGTCAACAAGGAATACTGGTTTAGGTTTTATCAGACCACCATTTGAAATTTGGCCTAACCATGTATGTATATGAAAGGGAGATTTTCTTTTCATATTCGGTATGATAAATCCTGCACCTGGGACCAAACGCGTCCACTTAGAAATACTCGGCTGCAATGGGCAACAAATAAAGTCACGACCACACGTGAAGAGTCTCCTAATGAAACATCGAAGCAATTTGCCCACCGTTGCTCGTTGACAATTCGAATGTTTAAAATAACGCACAAGTTTGTTGTCCAGGCTTTTGACTAACACGACGCACCGCTCGCAATTCCTTCTCATTTTATTATGTATTTAAAATCAGTCGCACAACTCACAATTGAAAATTTATATAAAAAAAATTTTTTGAATACTATAGGGTTAAGGTTTGACATTTCAGTCGCAGTTCAGAAGAGAGAAATGTCGAAATCACTTCTACCTTGTTATGCCTTGGTTTTACCTTTAAGTGTTTTTTTCATGCATACATATATGCAAGGTGTATTAAACAAGGTGTGATTGACAATTTAGTGCGGCTCTCTTTTAAGGTACTATAATGTCAAAAAGTGTAAACAAACGAATTACCCCTTAGTTTTCCATGTATCTTGTCAGCACTCATCAGTGCTAGTCTTTTTTCGATTATAGTTTTGTTTTACTTACTTTACCTGGAATATATATATTTTGTGAATAAAATAAAACAAATTGTTTATAAAATAGTTCTAACAATTTTCTTGTTTTCAATTGCCCAAGTTTTATGCGTTTGAGCGTTTATTTTTATATTTAAATTTTTTATCCTAAACATTATTCGACACTTAAAAAGTAGGAATGTATCCTGATCGCGTACTAAATCCTCACTTGTATCAGTTATTTCGTATGGCATTGGGACTGCGCATGGGTATAAACGAGCTCGTTGGAAAGTGTTTGATTTGGACATCACTTTCCTTGAAGTGGTTTTCACAAACGCGAGATGAATCACGTAGTACAACACCACAGCTTTCTTCCCATCGCTGCCGTCTTAATTCGCAACTAGGTGGTTTAAAACATGGCACTATTTTCGTGTCCTGACTTTTATTGCATACAGCCCACCGCTCAAGCGTTTTGCTCCGTTTAATCTTGGTTTCCTTACACTAAATATTTAAGCAAAGTCGAACGTATTTACTTATTACCAAACTTAAATGTACTTACTTGCTCTTCTCGGCAGTTTATCTCTTAACAATTTCACGTTTATTAAGAAAATTTGTTGCTTGAAAAATTTGTGTGTATTTTTTTTAAATTAAAATTTGAAAAAAAAACACATTTTCAAATGGGTTAACAATTCATTTCAATTTGACATTATAGCCTGCTTCTTATGAGAGCAATGTCAAAATCAATCACACTTTGTTGAATACATTTTGCATATATGTACTTTGTACATTTTAAAACAAACAAGAAATAAATAAATGCAGGTACAGTCTAGGCACAGAGATGAGATCATTTAACATTTCTTGGTTGTATGAATTATATATGTACATATGTACATGTTATGTACCAATAAGTTTAATTTTTTAAAAGTAAATTTAAATCACTTAATTACACATTCAAAACTTTAGCAGTTGACCACACATAGTGCGTAGTGTGTGTTATACAGCCGCAGAGCTATGTGGTAATGGAATTATATTAAAAACAAGATTGGCGAGATGTTTGAAACTATTTTCATTCATTCCATTTTTAATAGAATAAACTTTTTCCCAAAACATATCAAGCTCACTTAGCCTCAGTAAATTCCACTGCGGATCGCAATCTATGAGATGGGGAAACTTAACAAAAGAGGTAAAATTGGTAAATCTTCTTTAGAACAACCTTAACTGGTTTTATTATTTGTGAAAGTTTTATATCTTCACGCTTGAAATCAAATCTTAAATTTATTTGGTCCAAAAACTTTATGTAAAACGTTAATATTTTGGTTTTAACTTCAAGGATTCAAGAACAATTGACACTACTTTTCATAAATATCTCAGCTTTCGTTCCAACAAAAATGTCAGATATTTTAACATGCTTAGTTTCATTTTTAAAATCAACATTAATATGTTACTGATCGCATCTTTTTTAATAAATTTACTCAAAATTAAGAGGTACTGTATTTTGATAGTTGCATATAAGTATGGCAAACGACAGCTTTCAGCTTGAAAATCTTTGGTAAGATTGTTAATTTTGGGGAAAATATACGATAGAAATAAAAAATAGCATTTGATTTTGCAACACATTCCTTCTGCCAGGTATGCAGATCGCATACCGTTTACTTCGTAAAAGCAGGAAATAAAATAAAGTTATAACTATCCCATTGCTCGACTATTCTTAACACAACGCTTCTTAGTGAAAGCCATCGTGTTTGAGATATGTCCAAGATTTTGTGGGGTAGTCCTGAAATTTCTTCAGTTCATGTATCCTCTTTGGCCTTATATTTAATATAATTAAGAATTTAAAAACTTAATTCAACTATCCGACCAAAATCTTACTTTGCCGACCATCCTACCAAATGAAAAAGAAGCGACCAAATTTGGTGGGAAAAGACGAATGGTGGCAACACTGAAACCAAATGATATTGTTTTTTTGCTGTGGCCATATTTATCCCCTAGGTTATAATACATTTTATTCTATACATATATACACATGTTTGTAAAACGGTTACTTATACATATTTTTTCAATTACTACGAACTCCTGTTCAAAAGAGTTTTATGTAAGTAGGTACGTGAACACTAGCGTCCTTCTGTCGTACAAGGATTGAGTCATCCAACCTATATAAAGTTAAAAAAATTTCAATAGCCCACACTGAATTTTCGCATCTTTGTGTCACGAAAAGTTGCTTTCGGCAATGTTTCCACGCTAATGCTTTTTTAAGCTTAACAAGTAAAATGATGAGAGTAATGAGAAAACGTCTTTCTTCCTTTGCGAAACATTCTGTTTATTCACACAAAAACTGAAGCTGAATGTACCCAGTCCAGTTCGACAAGGACAGAGCGTTAAACCAACACCATTACAAAGGCCTGCTCTTCCCCTCCAGCTTTTATTTAGCGCTAAAAATTCAAAAACGGTCACAAGCATTGCCTACTGGTGTAGTTTTTAATAAAGCATAGTTGTTGCGATTTGAATGGATATCTATCGGGGTAAAAGCGCTCCACAGCAACATGTAAATAAAACACATACTTAGTATCGGGCCGGATTTCTCTTGGTGGCCCTGGTTACACTTACATATGTATGTACTTTACGACTTGTGGCAATGCTGGGGCATAGCGTGCGTACACACAAAGCAGCAAGAACAGCAGCGAACAACAATAACAGTCATGCAAGAATGGCATTGATGGTAAACAAGTGGAGGTTTAGCGGCAATACAAAAAACGCATACAATTGCGACAATAATTCGAAAAATACTGGACACCTTAAAAAGGGATGGGAACTTTAAAAAATTCACTAGAAGTATGTCAGAGAAAGCGAGAAAGAAGTGTAGCTTCAGACTGCAAACTCTTGCCTGCCTGCCGCTCAAGGATGAAACTGACAGTTGAGTAGACCAGGCTTTCCCAAAGTGGGTGCCGCGGCACGTTGGGGTGCCACTTGTGGCTAGAGTATACTAGTGGTGCGGGCAAATTCTTTAAACTTTCCATACACAAGGCAAGCGATTTGATCAAACTTCAACATAGTGGCCAGAAAATCAAAAAAAATTTGATTTTTATTAAAATTACGTTCAGCGACTCGTCAAACCCCATACACAACACAAATGGCTTGGTGCAAATTGATATTTCGCTTGGTTTGTCAAGCCGCTTATGTGGTATATTTCGCTCTTACGCGTAGTTCCCCAGTACATTTTGTCAACGACAAATTAAATCCAAAAATTTTCAGAAAAATCGCCGAAAACGTACCCTTTTCACAATCATTTTCGGTACTTTTGTAGACTTAATCCACCTTCATCCACTTTTCTTCCCGTTTTCGCATTAATTTTCGGATTTTTTTTCAGGCTGGGCTGTTCTCGCAACAAGCGCAGCAGCTTCGCACAGGTGTATATGTTACTTATTCTTTGGAACTTCACAATCACACTGTGAAAGAGCGAATCAACACGATTTTAGAGGCAGTCGAGAACGAACTTATAAATAGTTTGAAATTTTGTGAATTTTTTAGTTTGCAACTACTGTACTAACGTAGTGGGACTTACTGTTCTTCTCGTGGTAGTGACGTACCCATTTGCAATGCAAATCGAAGAAGAACTTTTGATGAGCGAGGTAATTGAGACTTACACCACTAGCTACGAAATTTTTAAAGCTATCGACAAATTTGTACAGAAAAATGGTTTGAAATGGAGCAAATGTGAGGATATTTGCAGTGGTTGGAAAAACGAAAGAATCGATGTCTAGGGTAAAGCAATAGGCAGAAAACGCCACGAGAAGTCACTGTATGATCCGTCGGTATTCCCTGGCGACGCCGCCACTAAATTTAGAACCCGTATTGGATGACGCTGCGAAGATAACATAGGCCTGCGAAATTAAAATACTTCATTGGTTTTTTTTTCTAGAGATTTTTTTATTGGTGGCATGTATATTTTAGAACTTCTACCAATTTGCATGAAAACCACATAAATAAACATAGTAAATCAGAACAAGTAAGAAAGTCTAAGTCCGGGCGGAGCCGAACATTAAATTCCTGGCGCAAATATTAAATATATACCTTTCCGAAAGCTACGGCTACATGGTAAGCCGGAGTGTATAAATTTTCAGTAAATTAGCGTCCTTAATTTCGTAATATTGCAGTTTCAAGCATTTCTGAAATTGCCGTTATATGAAAAGCGGTCTCAGTTTTAGTCCGATTTCAATAATTTTCAACGTTTTGCTTTTATGTGGCAAGCACAATAACCATACCGAGCTTGGTACAAATTGGTCGAACGGCTACCGAGATACATATATGTAATCATAAGTGGGCGGTGCCACGCCCATTTCCCAAATTTTATCGTAAACGCATTTCTTGGTAAAGAATTGTTGCAAACATCAATTTAAAATAAATTAGCTTTAATATTTACTAAGTTATCGAAGATTTCGTATTTCTCCAAATTACCGTTATATGGGACGTGGGCGTGGTTATTGTCCGATTTTAAAAATTTCGGCCATTTGGTATGCTGCAGCAAGGCTAACAACTGCACCAAGTTTGGAAGAAAGTGGTGCAGCGGTTACCAAGATATACACATGTAACCATTTCATTTTCAATACCGTCCGTCCTACGCCTCGAAAGAAGTGCACGTACAAAGNCCGCCACTAAATTTAGAACCCGTATTGGATGACGCTGCGAAGATAACATAGGCCTGCGAAATTAAAATACTTCATTGGTTTTTTTTTCTAGAGATTTTTTTATTGGTGGCATGTATATTTTAGAACTTCTACCAATTTGCATGAAAACCACATAAATAAACATAGTAAATCAGAACAAGTAAGAAAGTCTAAGTCCGGGCGGAGCCGAACATTAAATTCCTGGCGCAAATATTAAATATATACCTTTCCGAAAGCTACGGCTACATGGTAAGCCGGAGTGTATAAATTTTCAGTAAATTAGCGTCCTTAATTTCGTAATATTGCAGTTTCAAGCATTTCTGAAATTGCCGTTATATGAAAAGCGGTCTCAGTTTTAGTCCGATTTCAATAATTTTCAACGTTTTGCTTTTATGTGGCAAGCACAATAACCATACCGAGCTTGGTACAAATTGGTCGAACGGCTACCGAGATACATATATGTAATCATAAGTGGGCGGTGCCACGCCCATTTCCCAAATTTTATCGTAAACGCATTTCTTGGTAAAGAATTGTTGCAAACATCAATTTAAAATAAATTAGCTTTAATATTTACTAAGTTATCGAAGATTTCGTATTTCTCCAAATTACCGTTATATGGGACGTGGGCGTGGTTATTGTCCGATTTTAAAAATTTCGGCCATTTGGTATGCTGCAGCAAGGCTAACAACTGCACCAAGTTTGGAAGAAAGTGGTGCAGCGGTTACCAAGATATACACATGTAACCATTTCATTTTCAATACCGTCCGTCCTACGCCTCGAAAGAAGTGCACGTACAAAGTTTCGTTAAGATATTTCAATTTATACTCTAGTTATCGTGTGCACAGACGGTCGGACGGACAGACACTCACCGCTTAATCGATTTCTCTTTTCATTCTGATAATTTATGTATACATTTATCTATATCTATCTGGATTCGTTTTGCCTGTTACAAACAACCGTTATGTGAACAAAGTTATAACATAAGAACATTGATAACAACCGATTTCTCCAGCAATTTAAAGCTTGTTCACATTATCGTAATTTACGGCTCATTTGTAATTTATAAGCAAATCATGCTGAAATCAAGTAAATTCGCCTTGTAAAATATGTCAATAAATTAAATAGAAATAAAATAATTTATCATAAGTCAAGAACCAAATGAAGAAAAAATAAATATTTTTCATTTATTTTAGCCCCCTTTGTTAGGGAAATTTGAAAAAATGCCTAAAGCTATGCAACCATTTGTTTCTTGAAATCCAGTACAAACCGCACACTCGTACCTATACGTGCTATATAAATTATGAGAAAGGAAATGTGAACTTATTTGATTTATGCGAAGTAATTTGATCGAAACCAAGTAATTAATGATGTAATGTGAATATCGTTTTAAATGGAAAATGATTTTTTATTTTCTGTCAATTTCCATTAAAAATTCAAAAAATTAAAATCATTTTTCACTTAAATTGCTTTCGTGAAATGACTGTAAAAGTTATTTTCTTAGCATTAACGCGTATTACCAGCGTTAATTTGGAAGGTTTAGAAAAAACCATTGTCGAATATTTTCCCAACATTGACTCTGAGGATGTCTACAGCTGGATAACAAACCCGTTTTTATGTTACCCGAAAAGTAAACCTACTCAGATGACAAATTAAGCTTTTGAAAACCTTCTGGACATCAGTGAAGACAGCTCTTTGAATACTAAATACCACGAAGGAAGCCAATAGAAATCTGGATGCAAGTGTAAGCAGAAAACACTGCTGTTGGCAAGATTACATTAAAAATACTAGTGAATTTTACTTTTACATTTCTATGTGAGACTGCATTTTCAACAAATGCTTACATAAACAAGTAATTTTTAAGCAAAAAACCAAGCCGTCTACAATTCTCATATAAAAAATTAAGATTATCGTTAATCTCTTCACGATCCAATGATCGGATTTAAACCAAATTAAAATGGAACCACCTGTGAGGTAACACCTTTCCTCTAGAAAAAGAATTAACGTAATCGGTTAACGTGGTCCAAAGTTATGCGGTAACATACATAAACAAAATAATAAAAAAATATTCCGACGAATTGATTACCTTCTCCTTTTTGTGAGGTCGGTTAAAAACAAATACTCCAGCAAGCTTTCAGCGTCAAATGATGGCTGACTTCCAAAACGTATCAATACAATGTTTGGAAACTATTATACTGCGGTATTCAAACTGTTTGTAAATGCAGAATTGCGACGCATTGCAACCTCATACATTGCATATTTTAAATATTCAATTTAGCAATGAACAATTTTTCTGAATTTTCTATTTTTAAAACACCAATGGTAACCAAAAACAAATGAAGCATCAACTTTGTTTCTGATGCGCTGATTGCTCTAGCGATGGGTTTCGATAACTTTTCGAATGCGTTTTGGAAAAGTATACATTGTCAACATTTTGTAGTTCGGCGTTATGGGACATTATACTTTGTACGTATGCAATGCAATTGACGTTTTGGAAGTCAGCCGATTTCAGGGTAAAATTGTCAAAGCTCCCAACAAACTTAAAGGAAATAATGTAATCATCAAAACAATTTCAGTTCTCACATTAAAGCTAAAGGAGCATAGAGCTTGAAGCTTGCATTGCGTTATCTTGTGAAAAAGTTTGGGAACCCCTGGAGTAGACTACTTATATTTGCATGGAGAGCATCGACGGCACTCCCTATTTTTGAGGCATGTAATGGTCTGATTATGGCAACTTAACGTAACTTACGGCTCTCTCTTAAAAATTCTGTTTAATGGGTGTTGCTCAAGAATGATGGAATACAAGATTGCGCCAATGGAGCTGAGAGCTACTTAGTGTGACGTCACATTATTATAAGAATGAGAGTGTAAAGAATAATTTTAAGAAGAATAGAAAGAAGCGAAGAAGTGGTGCGAAATAGTAAAACTAGGTTTAATTGTACCTACTCTTCAAATTCTTAAATTTGAACGTACATTCGGACAAGCTCATTATTTTAGGTACATTTGGAACGTAGTAAAATATTATTTCATGTAAGTCCAAAATTTGTTATGGTACAGAAGAAAGATGTAGTCCACCAACTATCAAAAATATATGCACATAAAAATACACGTTTACTCTTTGGGAACGTGTATCTACTTTTAGGTACAACTTTCCGGCAAATAGGTCCAATATGAAAATTTAATATTCATCACTTGTGCGAAAAAATAATAATGTGACGTCAGCGAAAGGGTGGCTGCTGTCAAATCGAGAAAGAGAGGATTAGCGGTCCGCGGAAGGCGCCATCTTTGTTTCGCTGCATCGTGGGTGTTGCTTTTAATTCAACAGCCGAAACTTAACGTAACTTAATGACACGTCGAAATCTGTTTCATTTTGATTCTCTAAGTTCTACGTTCCATTAAATTAAGTTAAGTTGCCATAATCAGGTTTTAAGCCCGGCAATCCTGACAGTTTCATAGCCGGCTATTAAGAACTGATTTTTATTTGCATTCGCAACACCTTTAGTGGGCGTCTATCTTCTTTACGCACGCCACTTCCTTCGCGTACTTTTCCGTTATTAACGTAGAAGTACCCATTATAACGGCGCTTCAGCCTAACCTACATTAGTTTTCACAAACACATAAGCTGGTGTTCAGAATTTCTGAATTAGACTTATAAATAATAATTTATTGGAGCGTAGAACTGTTGCTAATAGGGCTGTGCAATTAATTAATTATTCAAAATTTTAATTACGTTTCTGTTTTCAAAAGTTAAACGAATTTTTTTTCATAATATGAAAATATGTATATTATACAGAATGTAAAAAATAAAATAAGCATTTTCCAAAGTATACTCTTTTAACGAGCAAAATGCATTTTTTGAGTAATCAAGTACTTGTTTAACCGAATAACTGATTAACCAACTTGCTCGAGTAATCGAATAATCGCACAGCCCTAGTTGCTAGGTTTTTGGTCAAACTAATGCCCCAGCTTATGATATGCGGCCTGATGCTGTCTTACAAATACTAAATTGCATCAAAGATAGCAGTAATCAGTAAATAATGAAACTCACTTTGCACTGATTACTGAAAATATAGCAGTAAGCATGGGCGGAGTTGGATAGGGGCTGGGGGCTCGAGCCCACCCCTCTACCAAACTAGAATTGCTAGATTAATAATTTCGAGCGCCCTAAAATTTCATTCTGTCTACGCCCATGGCAGTAAGCAATATATTTTCCCTGATTACTGAAAAGTAGCAGTAAATTTTTACTGATCAAAATAGAAAAATTTACTGATGAGCAAATGTATATACATATGTACTTATGAACATCAATGTTGTCGCTCAGCAAAGCGAATGTATACGAGTACCTACGTACATATCGAGCCCTAACCGCCAAAATAACGTAAGCGACATTTTTTTCAAAATTTTATTTTTGATGCAGAAATATTCCTAGATACATTTCTGCATCAAAAAGAAAATTTTGAAAAAATGTTGATTACGTTATTTTGGCGGTTGGGGCTCGATATGTTTGTATATATGTACATTAAGGTGGTCCAAAAAAAAAGTAAAACCAGAATTTTAATGCTCTTACCCCCTACGAATATTCTATACCTATAAAAATTTACCCATATTTTTATATACGAATCGAGATAGATATAGACAAATGTATACATAAATGCTCAGAATGAGTAGAGAAGTCGATTAAATTGAGATATCTCGAGGAAATTGGTATGTGGGTCTCCATTTATACAAGGTAGGTTGGTATTGAAAATCGGTGATATTGGACTGTAACCACGCCCACTTCCCATATAACGGTAATTTTCAGATATAGGAAAACTGCGATATTTTAGTAACTAATGGAGATTATTCACTCAAAATTGATATTTACAATAAATTGTAGACGAAAAATAAGAATATTATAAATTTTTGGAAAATGGGCGTAGCCACGCCCACTTATGGTTACATGCAGTGTTGCCAGAACTTTTTGGACGAACCGGCTAAATTGGCAAATAAAACCGGCTAAAATGTTTCAACTAAATTTAACACGTTTTATTTAAATAAATCACGAGTAAAAAGACTAATTCTTGGAGAGAAGTTAGAAATTCGAGCCGGAAAAAATTTTGCCAGCAAGAATTTGCAATTAGGAAAAACATATGATTGTGGCACACGGTTGAATTTTTTTAAACGATAATTTGAATAAACCAGGTCGTTAAATTTAAAAATTTACAAATTGGAGCGATTTTAAAATGAAAAAAGTAGGTTAATACTTGTTTAATTAATTAATTTAGTTAATTCCAATGATTTGAGAGGTACTCGGCAAAAAAAACTGTATTCTTAATCGGAATGCAATCTCAACCAGAGTCGATATAGTAAACCCGACAAAGAAATTGAAACGTATGTTGAAGAAAGTCGGACTGACAAGATATATACACGTGGATCCTGTTTTTATGCCCCTCTGATAGAATTTTAAAAATTCTACACAAATTTCTTTTGTTTGAAATGCAACCGTGGACACTAGTTGGCAGAAAAAGTTGCAAATTTGCGTTCGTACAGAAAATTGCAAATTTCTCTACATGAGAGAGAATTTGGGAGCATTTTTTCTTACTACCTATAGTCTTCCCTACAAGGCCTTTTCAGACTGACCGATTCTCAATACACTCAAATAGAAACCAATACACATAAAAAACGCTGTAAAGATTTCCGTTCAACTTTGAGGCAGTAAAACAACGAGGCCATATGTTGACAAGGGACGAAAAATCAAAGTTACACAAAAAAACTGGTCAGATTTTTCAGAAATCCATTCAATTCTGATGCAAAATATGGTCCCAAAAAACTGCAGATCTCCCATTTAGATGACCGGTCATATGACCAGTGTTGCCAGAACTTTTTGGACCAACCGGCTAAATTGGCAAAAAAACGGCTAAAAACGGCTAAAGTGTTTCAACTAAATTTCACATGTTTTATTTAAATAAATCATGAGTAAAAAGACTATTTNAAGTTGCAAATTCAAGCTGGAAAAAGTTTTGCCAGCAAGAATTTGCAATTATGAAAAACATATGATTGCGGCACATGGTTGCATTTTTTTCGAATTCGTCAAATTTAAAAAATTACAAACTTAACAAAAATTTAAGTAAACACTTGTTTACTTAATTAATTTTGTTAATTCCAGTGATTTGAAACGTACTCGGAATGCAATCTCAACCAGAGTCGATATAGGAAACCCGATAGTTACTACGACAAAGCAATTGAAACGTATGTTGAAGAAAGTCGGACTAACAAGAAATGTAGATCCTGCTTTTTGCTCCATTGAAAGAATTTTAAAAATTCTATACAAATTCTTTATGTTTGAAATGCAACCGTGGACACTGGCTGGCAGGAAAACTTGCAAGTTCCTGAAAATTTGCGTTCGTGCAGAAATTCGCAAGTTTCTTTACTTGAGAGAGAATCAGGGAGCATTTTTTCTTACTATCTGATATTTTGAGTGATAATTTTCGTTGCATTTTTGACGAACAAGCCTATAGTCTTCTCTGAGAGTTTTGCTTTATATAGAAATTTGTGCTCTTTTACGGCTAACAAATCAGCTTCCGGCTAAACCGAAATTTCTCCGGCTGTTTGCTATCGCAACCGGCTAAATCTAGCCGGAAAACGGCTAAAATGGCAACACTGCATATGACCGGCAGATGTCTCGTAAGATTCCCAGAGAGTTTTGCTTTACATAGAAATTTGTGCTCTTTTATTTTTATTTTGACTCACTTCAGTGTTGGCTCCTTTAATACAAGTTGGCATTCGGTTTTTGGAATTTAAATAAGTTCTCAGCAAAAAAGTTTGTTTAAAAAAATACATATGTGTACATAGTGCTTGAAAATATCAATTTTCCCCTTACCTTAAACCTTTGGGAGTGTGCAAAAATGATGTTTTGTAATTTAGGCAGAATTGAATATGCGCTATCTGGGAAGACAATATCTACATGTAATATTTATGCTTTTGTTGGCACTAAATCCAAACACAAACGCATCTTAAGTGTCTTAACAGTGAAACAATTTCTAATTTTCTAAGTTTGCGAATAAAATTTCACACTTAAAATTAAGACATTTATAACAAACATTTTATGAAGAAAATCTCTTCTTCGTTTCAAATAAAAATAAGCGAAATCGGCCCAATTTCATACAACCCTGCCTGACATGAAAATTTTCTCCACGATAAGGCTAATAGTCATTTCTAACAGATTTTGGGTCGCTTAGTCAAAAATGGAAACGTATATACCTATTTGTAATTTAAGAAAACAAGGCAAATAGCAAAATCGGCTAAAAACGGCAAATTTTTTTCTGTAAAACGGCTAAGAAATCGGCTGCCGGCTAAATCGAAATTTCTCCGGCTGTTTGCTATCATAACCGGCTAAATCTAGCCGGAAAACGACTAAAATGGCAACACTGGTTACATGTGTATATCGTGGTAACCGCTGCACCAATTTCTTCCAAACTTGGCACAGTTGTTGGCCTTTGTACAGCATACCAAATGACCGAAAATTTTTAAAATCGGACAGTAACCACGCCCACATCCCATATAACGGTAATTTGGAGAAATACGAAATCTTCGATAAATCAGTAAATATTAAAGCTAATTTATTCAAAATTGATGCTTGCAACAATTCTTTAGCAGGAAATAACTACGTTTGTGATAAAATTTTGGAAAATGGTTGTGGCACCGCCCACTTATGATCACATATATGTATCTCGGTAACCGTTCTACCAATTTGTACCAAACTCGGTATGATTATTTTGCTTGCCATATA